CTTCTCCTTCTTTCCCATCGCTTGCCAAAGGTTTGCTTGCTGTGTCTAAAAGCAGCTAGCGGCAATAGCCCCGATAGACACAGCTCATTGGCTAATTTATATCATGTGCAGGCTGGTACTGGAGGGCTTTACCGTACAAACAGGAGAAGCGGCGCAATTGAAATTAGACACTGCTGTTGGAAAACATGTGCTAATTCATAAATGTTTTAAATCAGGCTGGGTCCGGATTAGCCAGCAGGTGGGTCTGGATCCGGACCGCGGTCCACTAATCCGTGACCTCTGCCCTAAACCAAATGAGTAAGTGCCATAGAAGGACTCTCCAAACCAACTTGGACAGATGCAGTAATACTCAGAGGTTCAGCAGTGACATCTCTTGCCAACCGTCTTCTTCAGAAACTCTCAAAGTTTGTCCTCAAACTCTGAGAAGATTAGTGAACCAGAATTCAACTTTGGAAATATTGCCCTCTATTTCTTTCAAAAGACTTGCTATTGTGGCCCAACTTTTTGTTCTTCATCATTAACATGAGCACTGCGAATAGGGCACATTCCTTCCCATTTACTTTTTAATAACTCCCCTGCCACTAAATGTCATGGCTTGAGTCTGGCAAAAAAAGCAAAATATCAGTAGGAACTAAGTTTCTAAAACCAGACAGCCTCTTCTACCTTTCTGCTCATTGAAATCCTGACCGTAAAAAGCACCAACAAGATTGGTGACAAGAAGAAATCCCTAGGCTTACCAACAACAAGCCCATATTTGAAGAAATATCAACTCTGTGTACAGCTCTAGCCTCTATAAAGCAGCAGCACCTAGGGCAAAAAGTGGTATCTGGCATGACATTTTTAAAACTGGCATATGCCAAAGACATTTCAGGTAAAATTTGTTTACCAACTTCAGCAATTGCATAAGTCACTGTTTTACTGGTATGGCACTTCTATCAGGTGGCATATTCCACTAATTTATTTGTAAGCCACTTGCATATTTATGATAGGACATCTGTTGTCGTCAGTCCCAGAAGAAGAAGCAGAGCTATTCATTTGATTTAGTCAGACTATATGTGTGCCTGTAGGCTAATGCTTAGTAGATAATCTGCAATCAGTGCTTACTGTGGTATTGAGAACAGGCTTTTGCTTTCAGAAAATTCAGTCACACCGGCCCGGTCTTGAGCTGGCACAGTTACTTTTGGTTGTCAGGAATTATCCACTGAATCAAAAGTTTCCCACTTAAAGTTAACTTGGCCATCTACTGTTCAGATTTTTATCTTAATTTCTGTCAATATAGGGTTCTTGTATCTAAGTCATCTTAACTTTGTTTTAAATGCAGAGAGACTCTGACTAATACAGTAATCATTATGAAAAATGTTTATAATCTTGCACCAACATAAGCCCGATTTACACTACCCTTTTGAAACCGTGCTGAGAACGGTCCGAGCACGGTAACCAAAATAACTGTTGAGTGTAAATGGAAAGCAACTGAACTGGGCCGTGCCAGATCCAACCAAACCGTGCTAAATATAGTACTAGTTCAACAGTAGGGCTCGGCACGGTTCAGTTGTGGCTCGGTTCTCTGATAACAAAGAGTGCATGAGCAGACCACGTCATCTCCTATTTACACTCAGCTAACTCATTTCGCCATGTCTGGGATTGTAATGAACAGATCTGTTCCCAATATTAAGCTCACTATAGTGAACCGTGCTGCCTTGGCAATTTGTGCCATTTGAGGAAGAATAAAAAGAAGAAACCTTCTTTGCGTGCGCCCTGAGCGATTTGAGCCGAGAGTGATTTGCCCACGATGGTCGGGAATGATTCCTGATCAGGAGTTGGTCGTGAGAGGCGGATCGCCGCTCGTAACCCCCTCAGGCTGAAAGTCGGGCCGATCGAAAGATTCTCGCACGACTGGAAAGTCGCACAGTGTATGCCGGGCTTAATCCTCCAATGTCACTGTTCCCCAGCTTTGCCTCTCTCTTTTGTGCTACTTTTCTCTTTGTTTCCTATGGGTTTCGTTTGAATTTAACCACTGTTGCCAGCTAAATTATTGTGTTGACTCAGTCTGCCCCTCCTCCTCTGTAGCCTGTGGCAATAAACCAACCAGCTAACCAGTTAGACACGGTTAGCTGGTTAGCTTATTGTTCTGATTTGATCCACCTCTCCTTTCCCCTCCTCCTTGTTGAAGCCATTCATCATTGTTATCAGGTTAGGTCGTTTATTGTTCGGGCTCGGTCCATACCTATGTCTTGTTCTGTGGCCTGTTGAAGCTCATCACTGTTAATTAGCTTATTCTTTTAATTACAGAACCACATCTGTGCCTTAATACAAATTCCTTTTAAGTTTTGATTTTCATCATGTTTGCTTTTAGTTTAATGGTAATTATTTAATATCTAATTAACTGAAACTTAATTAATTAAAAAAATTACCTAAAGACTGTTTCTTCCTTGATTCATCGATATTGCTGATATTCTTTTGTGCTGTTTTGGTTATATCAAGTCTTTTAATGCATTTGAGTACTATTTTGAACCAAGTTTTATTATTAAACAGAATAACTACTGTACAATGCGATCATTAGTTTAATACATTTTAACTAGATAATGTATGGGTGCCAGTGGCTATATTATATCAGTTACTGATTCATCTCTTAGAGGTAGTGAGTCATATCCTTTTGAATTGTGTTGGAGCACTTTCAACTGGTACTTTTAACAAGCTTGTGGTTAAAGCAACTGATCGTTTTGAGTAAAACGACACCGTAACAGGGGTGAACAGGAAGGAAAAAGGCGTGGAAAAGAGGTGCACCCCCTTTAATCAACCAATTTAAAACAAAAACACAGCACAGTTACAGAAAAAGGATGAGCAATAGACTTTCTACCATATAAAGATTTTCTTGTAAACAAACTATCCATATTTTCCAAAGCACCAGAGTTTTGATGAGCTTTGAAACCTGCCCTAAAAAAAGAATAATTTCTGAGGGCCCAAGCTCAGACAGGCAGTGTGAGGCAGAACAGTGCATTGAGTAGTCCTAATATGACAGTTATATAACATCTAGAAGTGGGTTACAAAGTGTCAGGTTGGGTGGAGGTTTAAAGGAACCAAATATATAGACACTAAATCTGAGGTGGTTTCTTGCTACCTTAGCAACAAAAGGTGGTAACAGAAACAAAGTCATAAACATACCAAAATACAAAAAAAAAAAAACAGAAAATGTCAGGAGGAGAGGAACCAGCAATTGAACCAGTGATTGAACAGAGGTCCAGGCTAATCAGCAGATTGGGAGCAGGTGTTGACAGGGGAAGAAGGGAGCTAAGATAAATGAGACTGACACAAGAGGGAAACAGGGGTCAAACAAGAAATATATAAGAACTCAAATGCATCCATAAAACTCCACAAAATGGGAATTAAACCAATAAAACTAGAAAATACAGAAAAAACATAAATGAAAGTGAAACTGAAAACTCAAAAAGAAAACTTGAACAGAACCAAAAAAGTGCAGAATTGATAGACAGAATCATGACAGTAAGCATGGCAGGGAAAAATAGTTGAGATTCAGACCATGGCATAGCAAAAAGGCATGGCATGGTAAGTAGTATTCACCCATGAAGGCTGACAGCAACTGGCATAGTGTTGATTTGAAACAACAAAGGTTGTTTAGCAGGTGAACTAGCCTGACGTAGTCCGACTCAATTCTAGTCAGAATATCTTCAGAATAACTTCCCCGAACTCAAACCTTGTGGGCGGGACTAAGTTCGGACTGGCACCCAGGCTACAGGTGAACTGAATTACATGATAAATTGGCAGAAAAAAAAAACGGGAATTCCAACAGGTGAATGTGATCTAAGTGTTTACACTGGCAAGAATAAAAAGCAACACAAACAGAATTGAACTGGAGCAGACCTACTGAAAAGATCTTAAAAAATATAACATGACATGGTAGAACTATATTTGGACCAAAATGACTAAAGAATAAACTAAAAAGCAGGAAAAGAGACCTAACAATATAAAAAAAAAACATACGGCTAAACCATAATAATATAATAGGCTTCGGCAAGATCAAAACAAAAAATCCCTCAGATAAAGAATTAAAACCTAATTTAATAACGAGCAGAAATAACGAGCACACAAAGTCAACTAAAGAAAACATTGTTTAATAAACAAAGGAAAAAAAACACACAAAATGCTATTCAAGAACCTTTAATCACCACATTCAAGTAGAGCATCCTTAATGTATTTACATAAAAAAGTCGACGTTTGACTAAAAATGTATTATTACTTATTATTATTACTTAAAGTGACTATACAAGTATTGCTTCTTTGGTAGATGTAATGTTAAATTGTATTGTAATAATTTGCTAATTTTGCAGCAACTGTTTGCTTTGGAAATTGTTTTGCTATGAGTTGAAACAGGATCATTCATCGGCTGAGGGATTATTAAATGTGCGTGAGAGAAGATGATATCTTCTTCCTCAGATGTTTTCAACACATTTCAGCTAAAGCTGCTGACAGCAGAGAGCAGTGGCTGTTCTTCAGAACGATCTAAATGTATTTACTAAGGTTCTTAAAAGGAAATTGAACTCAACTTCCTTTTGAGAACCTGTAATAAGTGATGGAAGATATAAAGCTGTCAATAACAAGAGTACCTCCCACACACTCAGAGCTCAGAGGACAGAGTCTGAAGAGTTTCCTCCTCTAACCACGGATGAGTTGTTGTTACATCCACCCTCTACAGTCCGTATAAACTTGCAGAATTTGTGCGCGTGGCCGTTTGCCTCCAGCCCGTTTGCGGGATGAAAGCCAAGTGGTGGAGCTGTGTGTTGGGACTGCTCTGCATGCCTGCTGAGGTGATACTGAAATCATACACGGGTGAGTTTGTTCACGTGTAACACAAGACAGCTCTGGGTTAGTGATCTGAGGCAGGTTAATGATTAGGATCCATCTTTTTCTGTAGTTTTACAGCCATTTCATGCTTATGTCTATGATATTTTACCAACATGTACCCACTGAACAGTAACAGTGGCTATATTTGCAGGCTAGGCGGGCACTTTCTGTGACTGCATGTATGTCATTTGACTAACAAAAGTAACCTTTTAACAATTTTATCACAAAACACAACTTATTTCATTGGAACTTTCTGACCAGCCTAAAGTTGTACATTGTTGTAAACTGGGAGGAAAAGATTTGCATTTGTTATTATTGGTATATTTTTGGATGATAATATAAAACAGGATGGGGTGTAGAAGTATATAAAACAGGATGGGGTGTAGAAGTGAAGAAACCCCTTACTTTGGTACCCCTAAATCAAATTCAAAGCAATTAATATATCAGAAGCTACTACATTTTTTGATAAGTCTACACAATCTAATCAGAGTAACCCGTCCTGTGAACCCCAGGAGTTATATATATATATATATATATATATATATATATATATATATATATATATATATATATATATATATATATATATATTTAGTGAACAAACAACAGCATGAAGGCCAAGTAACACAGCATCCAAAAATGGCAGGGCAGGCTGCAAACTATGAACTTTGGCTTCATCAGGACGTCCAGTTTACCCTGTTGACTCTGGAGGAGCTGCAGGGAACAAAACAAACAAATGGAAATAGATGTTGGGGGAATTAAGATTGCAGCTGTTTGGCTAAAGAATGGACACAACACATCAACCTAAACACTGCATACCCCATTAGAGATGTGGTGGTGCAAGCATTGTGTTATGGAGTGCTTTTCGGCAGCAGAGAAAGGGATGATTTTCTGAGGTGGTGAGAAGATGTAGAGTGTTACACACAGGGCTTTACTGCGGGAAACATGTTAGAGACCCAAAAAGGTTTGAGGCCGAGTTAAATAAACATAGATCTATAGTTACTTGATAATATTTGTCTGTTAGAATGACCCAGTGAAAGCATGCGCCTATCTGATTATGATCTGGGTTCAAATGTGAATATTGATGTCCAGAGATGCTTTTTTAAAATAAATTTTAATCAACAATTTCACTCTCTACACATCAAGCAAATACTATAGAAGAATTTAAAGATAATAGGAAGCAAATTTATCACTTGAGCAACACATTTTGTTTTTCCCATCTTCCTGATGATGTCCACAAGCCAGAACGCATCGGTCAGCTAAGAACGTTTTAGGCATTGCTACACTCTTTCCCATTTCGCCATTTCGATGCACCTTGGGAGTCCGTGAAGTTGATCCAGTAGAATTCAATTTTTTTTTATCTAAACACGAGCAAAGCTTTAGAGAGTCAAACACTAAAAGACTTGCAGCTAAAACAGAAACCTAAAGTAAATCTACAAGCATCGACCCAGACGATTTAGATACACATCACCCTCAAGTTTTCATAAATTCATTAAAAAAAATGTTATGTTGGTTTTGTGATAGTGTTGTGCTGTCAACCTATAACAAGCACTTCTTTATCTGGCAGCTTCACAAAGCCCGTCATCTATCTCATATGTGAGGGTCAATTCATCGATGGAGATTGAATGCAGCAGCAACCTGGAGAAACCCACTGGCCTCAGTTTTAAAAGGCACTTCCTTGGAGATGAGCAGATTCTGTACCTCTTCTACGGGGATGGTGCTGGAAAACTAACCAAAAAAGCAACATTTAAAGAAAGAATTGATGTAATCCAAAACCAGCCGAAAACGGGGGACCACCGTAAGGTCAGGATCAAGCTGTTCCAGATGGGGCGGAATGACACAGACTTGTATTACTGCAGTTGGACCTACATGAATGAAACTAACTATGTTGAGTTATCCCTTGAGAGCAATGGCACCGTCATCATCGTCTCAGGTGAGAAATTGGTGGTGCTTAGTAACATCAGTAGAACTGTAATGCTACACTTTCTTCTTTAAAAATCTAATTTTCTCCCTCCCAGAGCATGGACCAGAGATAAAGGGCAGTGACCATGCTCTTGAAATGACCTTGATCTACTCTAGCATTGCAGCATTTACCTTCATATTGATCGTCATCATCGGCATAATGACTGTGAGGTGCAGGAGGGTAAGGTGACCTGTTCTAATACCAGAGAGTTAGAACCTGTGCTCAGACTGATCCGATCATTGTGTCCCTGCAGTTTAAAAAGGATTTCACACCTGACAGACCTTATGCACCTCCCTTACCTCCAAGACCTTCACGAGCCCCCAGACCCATTCAGCCTGGGAACATTTACCCGCAGGAGCCGAACCCCTATCATTGCCCCTACATGATGACATCTACAAACGACTACGGCATCTGGTGACGCCCAGAGCAGAAGCGAAAAGACCATACAAATCTGAGGCCTGCAAGTGAAGGACGCTAAAGCTACTCTGTCTGACTTAGAGGAACTGCTATCTTTAAAATCAGCTTTTAGCGATGCCTTCATCTTTTACAAACAAATGACTGTTTTTGCTTGCAGAAGTGTGTCTCAGCCACCACATCCTGAATGAACCGAAGTGTGTATGCATGTGAGGCAGAACTCTGTGATGGAAAACTGCAAAGAAAAACTTTCTTTACATATTCTGATTGTCAAGATTTACTTGACCCGTTAAGTTGTTCCATGTACGTCATGTTGTCAAATTATTTCATGACTGAAACATAAATATAGGAAAGGATTTAACATAAATTTCTGTCTATTCATAAAATTAGAAAGGTGCTTTGAAGTATCACCCAGAGGATTTAAACTTTTGCTGCTCAGCTGTGCACCATTTAGATTAATTGCATGTGTGATTTTACTACTTGGAAAAAATCCAAGGCCTGAGAGGTTTGTAAAAAATATCTGTATAACAAAGGAAAGGTGAACGCACGGTCATGGAGACGTTTAAAGGAGAGCTATGGAGACATCAAAGGATAAAACAACTTCTGGTACAAATCCTACAGAGCACTTTTTAATCTCTCATCTAAATATGCATATTACATTATTTCAAACCAATTAAGACATGAAGGTCCACCTTTGTCACAGTGAGCAAAAACAATGGAGCAGCTAAGAAACTCATAGCAAAAGTAGAGGATCAAGATCAACGATGACACGAGGTTGATACATGTAGGGTGTACGCCACATTTAAAACCATTGCATCATTTCACATCCGTTTGACAGTTTGTTTTTTTTTGTAATTTTTGTCACACGGAGTCGCATTAAAGATATTTGAAGACTGTCGTTGTGAAATGAAAAAATAAAGTGTGAGAAAAAACATTCTGAGATTTGAGAACTTTGAGAAGACACCCTAAGAATTCATCTTCCCGTCCCACATTAGCTGTTTGCAGTGTAAAGAACATGCAGGTCTGCAAACAGAAAGAGACTCCAAAAATTATATTCTTGATAAAGTCACCTTTTTGATTTTCTTTGTTTTTACATCAAATCTGCGCTTCTCTCAAATTTGAGCTGGTTGTCTGTGACAGGAAGGAAAGGAAAGGGAAAACCGTCTTCACTAGTAAAGCCACTGTCACACCTTGACGTTTAGCCAGCGTATGCTTGACGTACAAAAAATCTGGCAAAAAGGCTGGCATACAATGGATAAGTTATGAGTCAGTTTTGTATAAGTCAAGAGCAAGCTAAAGCATGCTGGCACACATCAACATATGACAAGTACGTCAAGAAACGTTGAGCATGCTCAAAATTTTGCATATGTCAATTTTCTTGACGTATGCGTTATGCATAAGTTAGGCTGTTGCTGGACATGAGTTCTGGACTCATTATGAATAGTGTATGTATACACCCAAAATTAAAAACATGCATAGAAAATTGAGTGTATGCCAGAGTTTGTAATGATTCTGGGACGACAGACATATGCCCTCTAAATCGTCAGACAGGGACTTAAAGAAGACACAATTTAGATGGGTTGCACTCATATCAGAGCTTATTTATCAAAAAGTAAGAGTTCACCAGAACAGGTCTTATTCTAAGATCTCACCAAGTTTCCAGCATTCTTCTCAAAATGCTCTATCCTCCAAGGAATAAGGGAGAACCTGGAGAAGTTGATACTGTTTCACACAATCAATTATGATAAAAAATATCTACTTGTGAACCTATTCTGTTTGGGTTTAAATGGATTATATGCTGAGAAACACTACAGTTAGCAAATCATGCACCCCAAACATCTGGAATGAGTTAACAACAACAACAATCTGTCATGATCTCAGCACTGATGCCTGGTCTGATTACCCATTTCACACACTTACTTACGTGTGGGGTCACCAAAGGCAGATGGTGAGGGAACAGACAAAGAGCAGCCCAAAGACCCCTTATGATGAGTAAAACAAATGAATATAGTATTCCCTCGCCCAGATGCAGGTCACTTGCTAGCGTGCCCCACTCTGGAGTCAGGCCTGGAGGTGGGGCACGCTAGCAAGCACCTGGTTGCTGGGATTTTACCCATGGAGCCTGGTTGGACATTGCGAAGAGGAAGAATTGGTCCCCCTTCCAGTGGGCTCACCACCTGTAGGAGGGCCCAAAGGGGTTGGGTGGCAGTCGAGGGCGGGAACCTTGGTGTTTTGATCCTTGGCTGAAGAAGCTGGCTCTTGGAACATGGAATTTCAACTCTCTGGTGCTGGTGGGGAAGGAGCCTGAGCTAGTGCCCAAGGTTTAGAGGTTATGGCTAGAGATAGTGGGACTTACCTTAAAGTATGGCTGTGGCTCTCGAACCAGTCTCCTTGAGAGAGACTGGACATTCTTCCACTCTGGAGTTGCCCCTGGTGAGAAGCAGGAGTGGGCATACTTGTTGCCCATCATCTTGATGCCTGTATGTTTGGGTCTCCCTTGTACTTCTGGGGGATATAGCCATCACGGGGGCACGGGTAGACATAGACTAAGACAAATGACAATAAAAGTTGGCTTCATCAGGGCGTGATCTACAGCTCTCAAGGTAGTAGTTCACAGCCGAGTGTGAAGCGGTTGGAATGATGATCAGTGCCTCCAGACCATGGTCTTGATTCAGAAAAGGCTAGAGGGCCTTCAACAGGTTAGGGAGGATGTACTGCCTCTAGTGGAGTTTAAGTATCTTGGGGTCTTGTCCATGAATGAAAGGAAGTTGGAGCGGGAGATTGTTGTGGTGAAGAGAGAGCTGAGCCAAAAGACAAAGCTCTCGATTTACCGGTCGATCTACATTACTACCCTCTGTTCATGACCGAAAGAACGAGATCCCAGATACAAGCAGCTGAAATGAGTTTTCTCCATTGTGTGTCTGGGCTCTTCCTTAGATAAAGGGTGAGAAGCTCAGCTCCTCCTGGACGCCTCCCCGGTGAGGTGTTCTGGCCATGTCTGACCGGGAGGAGACCCAGGGGGGACCCAGGACACCGCAACCCAACCCTGGATAAACGGAAGAGGATGGATGAATGGATGGACGCACCTGCTTAGGGCCGTCCAATTTTCATTACACACTCATCTGATCCACCTGCATTAGTCACTATATAACCAGCTTTCTGACCAGTCATCAGTGCCAGATTATTTCGAGCCGTTGGTGAGATTTATTCTAGCATTCTTGTCTTCTGACTACCTAATCCTGACCTGTTCTGCCTCTTGACCTCTGAGCCTGCCTATTCCTCTGTTAGCCTGACCTTTCTTATGACTCCTGCCTGATTTTTGGCTGCTTGTGTACTGCAAGTGGAACTGTGACCCGAATCTGTCTTGGATTCTCCTTCGGCACTTCACAGGATCTCTGACCTTCTGGCACTGACAACCGACCATGTCACCGACATCAGCTTTTGCTTCGACCTCTGGAGCACCCTGAATACATTCGTCTGCTCAGTTCTGATATCCTGCCTGTCCTCTGTCCACCAATACATAACTCTCTGGGACTCTTTGTGCGGCATCCGCCGTGCCGCGTTGGCAGCCAGCCAGCTGGAACTATCCTCTATCTTTGGATTTAGACTGAACTATCAGAGGTGTCAAGTAACAAAGTACAAATGCTTCGTTACTGTACTTAAGTCAGTGGTTCCCAAAGTGTGGGGCGCGCCCCCTAGGGGGGGCGCAATGCCATTGCTGGGGGGGTATGGATGAATGAAAAAAAAAAAAAAAAAA